TTTATTTTATTATTTTATTATATTATTTTATTATATTATTTTATTATATTATTTTATTATATTATTTTATTTTATTTTTTTATTTTATTATTTTATTAATTTATTTTATTATTTTATTTTTTATTTTTTATTTTATTTTATTATTTTATTTTTTATTATATTATATTTTTTATTTTATTTTATTTTTTATTATATTTTATTTTATTTATTTTCCACCTATCTTGCTGTCACCCGAACCTGGGTAGCTTACAACCTGAGAAAATGATATAATGAAAAATTAAAACAATAAATATTACATTAAGATTTATTGAAAAATATCTAAGATGGGTTGAGGTATATAATGGGGTGGAGGTAGATTCTATTTAATTTGTCCATCTTTGGTAATTTTCATGCTGATTTTTAAACTTTAAAATCTATACAAAAGTGAATGGATGGATGGATGGATTTGGTGGTAACAGCTGTGTTGTGTATCTTTGAGGGATTTTTCCTGCCTGTTTCACATGGCAATTAGCAAGTATTTATGGGGAAGTGATGCATGAGATTTTTCTTTTCCTGCTGGTTATCATATAGCCACAGGCATCAGAAATACACTGTCTCTAAACTTTGAGATTTAGTAATTATAGTTAATGGCAGATAGTTCCTCTGGGAATATATTTAATCCATCTTGAAAGTAACTTTTGTGGCCTTGAGCATGTTTGTGTCTGTGAATTCCAATTCATTTATTTATCTGGTGTATCAGTTGTCCTAAATCATTTCATTTTTTACAGGATTAATATAAAACAAGTGTAATAATAAGTGATAATTTAAACCAGGCACAAAATAATGGAGAATATTTTTAAAAAGAAATTATTTTAAAAATATGTTTTTCTTAGTGCCAAAAGGCACAAATAGATCCACACTGAAATGTCCTGAAAGTTACTGCCTGACTTTGTTAGATGAAAGAACTCAGAAGTATTTTTTCATAAACTGACATTTAGTGAAATTCATATGGTCCTTAGGTCTAACCCGAAAGTGACACTTAGAAAATAAGTGCCTTTACTACACTTAGAAATGTATGGGAAGTCCATAATTGTATTTCAAAAATGATGGGCTATGACTTACACTGTCCTTTTCAGTCAAAAATATAACTCTATCAGTTTAAGATAATAGAATTTTTGAAAGTCTTAAAAACAAACAGAAAATATCCAGAAAATACAAACTAATGAAGCTTAGATGTGATCAGAATATAGCTAAATTATATTCTGCAAGGATTCAAAGATCAGTTCTGAACTTGATCCTCAATGATGGAATATATTACTATCTAGAACAGCTCAAATCTAATCTTCTAAATCAGATAGAAGATGGCTGCAATCTGTAGTAACTATCACAATAGTTACATCAGAGTACTTTAGGGGATCACTCTTAATTATAACAATTAATAGGGGATCACTATTAATCAGCACTCCTCTATAGCATTATTGATTCCAAGTAGCATAACCCCCAAGCAATATTTTATTTACCCAGTTCTGCTGAAAAAGAGGACTAGAGCTCAGTGTCTCTGGCAAGTATTTCAGTTCAACTTTTCAGATTAATTACTACAAAGACTTCATTAAAAGTTGAAAAACACTTCTAGATTTGAGTACTGTGAAATACATATTGAGTAATCCAATTTACTCTATCCACACAGTTTTATGAAGCTTTTGAAGTAATATTGAATCTCATTGATGCCTTGACTGGTCCTTGCTGTTTTCTTGGCAAGATTTTCAGAACTGTTTTTTTATTACCAAAGGCTGAAAAAGAGAGATGGGCTCAAGCTGGCTTCAAGTGTGGGGTAAGACTCAAACTCATGGTATCTCAGTTTCTAACCCGTTGCCTTAACTACAATATCAAACTGGCTTTCTTAGTAAATCTAAATTCTATTAAATAAAATGCAATGGTTGTCCTGTGTTCTTGGTTCTGCCTACTATTACTGTCTCCATTAGAGATATTTCTGTGAAATCTCCTCCATCTGAAATGCAGTTAGCAATTACTGAGCAGAGATGTAATATTCAGTGATAAACATTCCACCACTAGTATAAATAAAGGTGGAATATCATCATCATCACCTCCATCGTCATCATCATAATCATCATCAGCAACAGCATTTCTATCAATGCCCACAGTAAAGCCCAGGAAATTTATTAGGGTCACACTGGAGTCTGTGTATTTACATAAACCCACCATCAAGGTGACCAATTCTGAAAGTTTTGTATCTGAAGAATTTTATATAGTCCTCCATGATTAGCCTAGGATCTAAAGATTACAAGCAATCATAAGCATTCTTCACAAACATTATGGTGAAAATTATGAAGCACGTATCACAACACAAACTCTCACCTTTGTCCTTGTGACTTAAGAATATGAGTCACACATTTTGCACTGGGATATCACAATGCCCATTTTGTCACTCCTGTTCCTGCTCCCCTATCTATGTATGCTCACTTGGTACATCAAATCAGAAAACACCGGAACCATACTTTATTGAAAAAGGCCAGAATAACAGAATATTGCAAGTCTGATTCTACTTTACAACCTCTCCTTTTATATTACAGTGAAATAGGTACTCTGAACAGGTCTATGACAATTCACTGTGGCCAACTTGCCATGGCCAACTCACCATGGT